CCCTGATCTTGCCAGGAGCTCCATGCAGGCAGCCCACAAAGAGCATGCTGCAGGATCAAGACCAGAGACTGTACTCTGTGAAGAGACTTTCATGAGTGACAATAATGCATAGGAATGACTCTGCTGTAAATGGGAGGGAATGGCTTATTGGATTAATCCTCAGGTTTCTGACTCCAAGACACAGATTCAATCACCAAAGTTTCAGAGGAACAGCCGTGTTAGTCTGTATTCGCAGACTTCATCTGATGAAGTGAGCTGTAGCTCACGAAAGCTCATGCTCAAATAAATTGGTTAGTCTCTAAGGTGCCACAAGTACTCCTTTTCTAATCACCAAAGTGTTTCTATGTGGTTCTTATATTCATTACCATAATAAAAGACAACCCCCCCTTCATGCAGACCTGTGGATAGCTAAATAAATATGTTCTTTGATACAAGATTTTTAAGATTTCTGTGAGATAATGCAAACTGGGATGAGGAACCTTCTGCCCTCTGGTGGGAGCAGAATGATTTATTTTATTTATCTGTATTATGAAATAACAATGTCCAAAAGAATATAATAAAGACTTCCTGCCTCTACTTGTCCCATAGGTATATCATTTTTCCTGCTTTCTCAGTGGTGGGTCCCCCGCTTGTCTCATATGTAAATGTATACAAGCTGCAATATTGTATAGCAAAGGTCCAAAGGCTCCAATGTACAATAGTGATTTGGTTTACAGCAATCACTCCATTAGTGATGTTGTTTAATGCTTTTACTGTGGAATGCTTCAGTAGTTTTTTGTAAGTTGATGAGAATTCATTTCCATTAGCAGCTCGTAAGATCCAGTGTCTAGCAACCAGTTGAGGCCATGATGTAAGACCCATATATTTTGTTTAATGTTTGACTGGTTGTTGATTTCTCTTAGATTTTTGCAAATGTCTTCTCTAATTTGAATTTAAATTAGGGCATCTATCTATGTTTTAAGGAAGGAAAGCACATCTGTATGAAGACCGGACAGCATCAGCATTTCTTTTTAAGGGCCAGTACCTTGACTGTTCTGTTCACGGTAAAAAGTCATATGTTTGTGCACAGGGTACGATGCTTCAGTGAAATACCAGGCAAAGTATGTTAGAGGATGGGCGCTAAAAGCCAGATCTGTTGAGGTTCTGATTGTCATCTGCTCAGTACCTCTGAGAAGACACTCAGCATTTCTCAGCGAAGGTGTCTCCTTTAAAATACGGTACGTGGTCACCAGGATTTTAATCTGTGTAATCGCAAAACTTATTCTTGTTTATTATTATGAGCATTTATAGAGCACCAAGAAGAAAAGGAGTACTGGTGGCACCTTAGAGACTAACCAATTTATTTGAGCATGAGCTTTCGTGAGCTACAGCTCACTTCATCAGATGTATACCGTGGAAACTGCAGCAGACTTTTTTCCACGGTATACATCTGATGAAGTGAGCTGTAGCTCACGAAAGCTCATGCTCAAATAAATTGGTTAGTCTCTAAGGTGCCACCAGTACTCCTTTTCTTTTTGCGAATACAGACTAACACGGCTGTTCCTCTGAAACCTATAGAGCACCAGTCACCATTGGCTCTGGGCTCCTTTACAAGGGTTATATAGAGAAATTAGTTATCTTAATTTCACTGTGCTTGGATGCCAACAAACCCTCAACGTTTAGTGGGAGAACTAAAAGCCAGACTGACGACTAGAAAGCCAGGGATGGCACCGCGACAGGGGTGATGGCTAGCAAGTGACTGGCATTCAGTGACTTAATTGAATTTGGTCTGCTAGGTTGGATCATTAGCTTCCCAGAGGTTAGCCAGGTACTGATGGGGGATGCAATGTGAACACTGATCCAATGCCCCCCGGTTATCTTCATGACATAGCATATCTGCCTCACCTCAGGCTGTTGGCTTGAAATTCAGGCCTGGTCTACACTTAAAAATTAGATCAACATAGCTACATTGCTCTGGGCTGTGAAAAGTTTTGTGTCCTGAGCACTGTCGTTAGGTTGAACTAGCCCCTCGTGTAGATGCAGCTAGCCCAATGGAAGAATTCTGCCAACAATCTAGCTACCATCTCCTGGAGAGGTGGAAAAGCCCCTCCGCTGATGTAGGACGCATCTACGCTATGATGCTACAGCAGCATAATTGCAGCGTCGTAGCTGTGTTCCTGTAGTGGATGTTCCCTTCACTGATATTTCTCAGAGCCTCAGACTTGCCTCCAAAGGCCTGGTCTACACTTTTAAAATTTAGGTCAACATAGCTATATTGGTCAATCCACACCTCTGTCCAACATAGCTTTGTCAACCTAACCCGCAGTGTAAATGCAGCTAGGTTGATAGAAGACTGCTTCCATTGACCTAGCTACCACGGCTTGGGGAGATGGCATTCACACACTGATAGAAAAACCCTTTTCATTGGCATAGGCTGAGTTCTGCACTACGGTATTATGCCAGCATAGCTACAGCAACATAGCTATGCTGCTATAGTCCCCATAGCGCTATACCCGAAATCTCAGGAATTTCTGTTGACTTGACGAGAGGATCAGAGAGGGGTCAGGGGAGGGGGGGGGGCAAAGGATAGCTCAGTGGTTTGAGCATTGGCCTGCTAAACCCAGGGTTGTGAGTTCAATCCTTGAGGGGGCTGTTAAATTGATCTGGAACAAAAAGTGGGGATTGGTCCTGCTTTGAGCAGAGGGTTGGACTAGATGACCTCCTGAGGTTCCTTCCAACCCTGATATTCTATGATTCTATGACTTAGGCCGGTTACAAAGAAGAGAGCTGGCAACTGTGTTAACGCTGACCATGATCCTGCAACTGGATAAGCAAGGATGGGCTACTCTGTGTCTGCATGGAGCTCCACTGATTTCAAATGGGGCTTCCTGGGTGCAGGGGTCCAGCTGCAGGATTGGGGGCGGGAGATGACTTGGAGGATTGGGGGCTCCAATGCCCCAGATGACAGTGCTTTGCTACCATGGACGGGATCTGAGAGTAGCAGGGTGGGTCATTTTGCTGGGGGGACCGATGTCGTTCTTAATTCAATCTGGCCTAATGGGTCTCTGGATTTGGGTGCCCAGCGTGAAGTTCAGACTTGGCTAGACTGTCAGAGGGGCTGAATTCTCCTTGAATTCAATGGAGCAGCAGCTCTGGAAATCAGGACCTTGTTCTCTTAAACTAGGCACATTTAAAAAAAAAAAAAAGAAGCACCCAACACCAAAAGCCACTTAAACCCCCCGCCCCAAAAAACTGGCCGCAAGTACATAAGTGGCACTTCCACTCAGGCGCTTGCACGGTCACCACGTGCTTTGCTCTGGGAGTGGGGTCCTAACGCCATTTCTTCCCGGCACTCGATTAGTCGCTTGTGCCGCAGCTGCGTGGGGTCCTGCGCGTCAGGCCGGAAGACGCCGCCCTGCGCATGCTCTTTCCTTTCCAGCTCTCGGGCTTACTGCTAGTGGCACGGTAAGTCCGGGCTCCAGTCGCTTCATCTCCCTCACATCGCCGCCATCCTGCGGCTGGGGGCCCCGGCTTGGCTCTCGTCGGCGGGCGGGCACCCTGTGCCACACGCGCACGGGGATATTTCCCAGGAGGGGCCCCGAGCGGTGGGGGGAACTAGGCCGCAAATTGGGCGGGGGAGCTTGCGGCCTAGGGGTGGACGTTGGGCCTCAGAAGGCGGGGGAGGGGAAGAGACTGGGGCCTGGAAGGCTGATTGTGTATGGGGGGGGCTGGGCTGCTGTTTGGGAGGGTGGGAGAAGCTGCTATGTTGTGCCCTTGGTACGGCCCATATGTGGGGGATAGAGGGGATGGGGTGGGTTAGTCAGGGCTAAACTGGGAAATCCGATGTCCATTTTCTACCCCCTTGTAAACTGAGGCAGTGGCGGCACCACTAATCCTGCTGGTATGGAAGAGGGTCCTGCTTTCTTTGTGCTGCAGAGGGGGCATGGAAAGGTCTAGTTTGACTTTAGTCTTCGATTGAGACTGGGTAGTAGGTTGAGCACCACCATGTGCTTCTCCAGTACCAAAGTGCTGAAGAGCTGTTTTCCTGCTGCTGCTTAGTGATGGGTTCTTCATGGCCCCCATGTGTGTGGGACCTGTTTCGTCTTTATATGGATGATGATCTGTGAACGTAGGATGTTTGCTGTTGGGTGCTTCCTTTCCTAAAAAGAGTTAACACTTACAAGCTTTGGTTTTGCAGCTCTGCAAATCTTAAATCAGAAAGAAGTAACCCAAGCCAAAATGGTTGGTTTGTTGTTTTTGGGTCACTGTGTGCAGTGGTGGGCAGTTACTGTTTTCTGGGCCGCCATAAGTGTGCGACTACCATAGGAAAATACCTTTTCAGATTGGTTTTTAAGTACCTTTTTATTTCAGCAGGCCTTTGGCATAGTATGTTGGTGCTGTTCATTATGATGCTCTAGTTCTGTACATTTAAAGCACTTAAGTATCAGGCATTTCACAGTTAAAGTACTCATTAAGTATTGGGTGCTAACCAGATAACACACACTTTATTGGATTTTCTTCCCCATCTATCTGTTTGGAAGTGAAGCATCAAGGGGTTCCTAATCTTTGAAAGTTATTCCACATAACTAGATAGTGTGGATTATAGACATTGCGATTGGGAGTTCTGTTAGGTGTCCAGCATGTAGGATGCCTATTGTACAAACATTACTAAGCGTCATTCCACTGCACACGTTACTGTCCTTGGTCTTGCTGTTGCCTTCTGCATTACCTGATGAGGACTGTAGCAGATGTTTGCCTAAGTATGGTTGCAAAGTACAGTTTAAAATTGCTACTGTTAAGAATTAAAATGAAGACTACTCTCCTCCCTGCTTCCTCTTGGCTGGCTTCAGTGTGAGAAGGAATTGTCTGTAGCTTTTATTGGGATAATTGAATTAAATGCAATAGAAATAGACTGTGGAGACCGCTAAATGCATACTTGCAGTGATGCTCTTTCACAGTCCACCTACACTACAAAAACAACAGTTATCAAAAAGGTTACTCTGCTTGCTCTTCCTGGTGGATCATAACATGGGCTTCTGAGCAGCTGAACTATGTGATCTTCTAGCCTGTAGCAAACTTGTATATATCTTCCCAGTTAAGGTGTAGTAAGGATTCCCATAATTTCTAACATGGTTAAAGGTGGTGGTGCTTTGTTCAGTGAGTCACTGCAGGTCCAGCGTGGAATCAGGTGGCTTAAAATAAAACATAGATCCAGTTATTAGATCTGGCAACACACTAATGTATTACTGCTAGTCTACTAACTATTGATTTCTCTGTCCAGATGTTGATGCCCAAGAAGAACCGGATTGCCATCTACGAACTCCTTTTTAAAGAGGGAGTGATGGTGGCCAAGAAAGATGTTCACATGCCTAAACACCCAGAGCTGGCAGACAAGAATGTGCCCAACCTCCATGTCATGAAAGCCATGCAGGTGTGACAGATTAATTTATGGATCTACCTGGGCTGTTAAAAACAGCTTTTTTATGTTTTGGGACCTTATGAAGCTGGTGGATTGAGCACCACCTGACTAATCCTGGCATTATTTAACTTTGTTTAAGGAGAGAGAAACAGCAGTTCCAATGGAATTTGCCTTTTTTCCAGATTACTAGTTTTTTCATATTAACTTCATCAATCATACACAAACTGTGTAGAAAGCTTTTGTATTGCGTAGCATAAGATTCATAATCCTGTCTCTGAACCTATGATTTTAGCATCATTTTTAGTTCAGTTTTGCATAATGACCCTTGAATTATTAGTCTTGTGGAATGTGAATAGTTAGTATGTTGAAGATACTGCATCTTTCTGTACCTTCACATGTACTTCTGAGCTACTGAATGTCTAGTCGTCAGTCCTCCACTCATCCCCAATAAACTACCAGTGTTCTGGCTGGTAGTATTTAAAGATGTTAAATGGTCACAATCAAATGCTCATGTAATAATCCACCTGCAACTGCAAAAAGCTGAACCAGAATTTCTCTCCTTAGTCACTGAAATCGCGTGGCTATGTGAAGGAGCAGTTTGCCTGGAGGCACTTTTACTGGTATCTGACCAACGAGGGTATCCAGTATTTGCGTGATTATCTTCATCTACCCCCTGAGATTGTGCCTGCCACCCTGCGCCGTAGCCGCCCTGAGACTGGCAGACCGCGGCCCAAAGGTGAGCACTAGTTAATAAAAGCAACTGCCATGTGATTCTTGGATGGGTGATACGGGGTGTGTGGAAGAACGGTATAAATTAAAGTTGAGGTTGCTGGGCTGTGTGGGCATGGTGGATAAAAATGTGAGCTTCCAGTGCTGTGGCCAAAAGGGCAAATGCAATCTTTGGCTATATAAAGGAAAAAGTCGAGTAGGGAGGTTCTGTTACCTCTGCATTTGACACTGGTGTGACTGGTACTTGATATTATGTCCAGTTCTGGGGTGCACAGATTAAAAAGGAAGTTGAAACATTTGAGAGGGTTCAGAGAGGAGCCACAAGAATAAGATTAGAAAACTTGTCTTATGGTGAAAGATTCAAGGAACTCAGTCTGTTTATCTTAACAAAGGTTATTACAGAGTGACTTGACTAGTTTAGAAGTACTTAGATGGGGAACAGAAATTTGACTGAGTTTGCCAGACAGAGGTCAAGGTGACCCAAAATCTAATGGTTGGAGGTTGAAACTAGACCACGTCACACTAAAGAAAGATGCGACTTTTTAACAGAGTAACTTACATTGGAACAACTTACCAAGAGTTGTCTTTTTGGATTCTTCATCAGTAGTAACTTTTAAATCCAGACAGCATGTTGTTCTTAAAAAAACAACAATGCTGCTCTAGTTCAACCAGGAATTAACTCAAGGAAGTCTTGTGGCCTGTGTTAAACAGAAAGTTAGACTAGATGATCACCAAAGTCCCTTCTGGCCTCGTCTGTTTCATTGCAAACCCTAAAACTCAGTGCATCTGAGTTTCAGGCAATGTGCAAAACTTGTCTTGTAGCTTTTATGACTTTCCCAACAAATTCACGTTGCATATTTGGGTAAGCTGTTTAGTATCACTTTGATTTTTGTTTCACAGCTAAAAGTATCCTTCTAGATAGGGATGTACTTGCAAAATGAATATTTTAGATAGACAGGAGCAATCAGTGAGTATAGAGTAAATGTGTATTTTCAAAGACAGTACATAAATACAAAATATATTAATGGTTCCAACGGACCACTGAAATCTAGTCAATACATGTACTTCCAAGAGGCTTATTTTAGGATGGCTAATATAGCACATGAAGAACAAAACCGGGGTTGATTTAAAATTTCACCCGTTATGCAATGTGCTGCACACTGGCTGATGGCCTGCCACCTCACCTTATTAGGTAGCAGTGTTTCAGTGGAGCTGTATGAATGGCTTGCAAAAATGTTTGGGATTCTCTGTGGCAAAAAGGTGCTATAGTAAAGATAAAGCATAAGTTAGTCTTAGACAGCTGTGACCAAATCAGCACTGCCGCATCTCTGCCACTGTGCACAAGATTAAAGGACACTTGAGTCTGATTTTGGTTGTTGGGTTAGTGTGTGGGTGCTGGGTGGTGTATATGACAGGCCACCAACAGGAGGTTTGACTGGATGATCTAGTAGCCTTTACTGGCCTTAAACTCTGACACCCCCCTCAGTTTATACTCCTGAATATGCTTTAGGTGTTTGTAACACTGAAAATTACAAAAAATGAAAGTGAATAATTTATCTTTCTTTGACTTGTTTCCTTTGTGCCTTTGGAAGCACTCTGACTTCCTTGCTATTTTCTCTCTCCAGTCAGTTTCCTCTATTCATTTATGTCACATGGCAACGGGAAGAAACATTAAAATATAGAAAAGCGTGCTTTTACAATGACAAGTTACCCAGGGAACAGGGGGCAGATGTATTTCCTGAAATACACTTTTATTTTAGGTTGACTGTATTTCAGTTTGATGATGTACCTTGACTTGTTGCTGCAAAATCAGCTGAACTTCTGAAGGCCCAACTCGGTATCTGGGTGTGGCCATAAACTCGAGAATAGATACTGGATGGAGGAGGAAAAACTACTGCAAAACTTGATATTGCAAGGTCTGCTGTAGTGACTCAAAATTTTGGCTCTCCCTTGAGGTGGGAGAAAGTTGGACTTTTGTACAGAGGGTCTGCCACTCGTGTGCAGTAAGTGTAATCTGCCCTCAAGCAGGAATACTCTCGTCCCTACCACTTAGAGGTACAGATTTATTCTTGAGCTGGGAGAATGATCTTTCCAGTACAGTGTGTAAAGTGCCTCACTGATTTTAAGTTGCATTGTAGCTCTCTTAACTACTGCTGAGCCACATGCTTAGCCCCCCCCGCCCCCAAAAGACAAAAGTTTTGCCATGACAAGTGCCAGTGTGAACAGCGAGTTGTCGCCAGGAGAGCTGACAACCAGTAGCTATGCTGTGTGACCTTTAGAGGCATGGCTGTGGCACTAAAAGCTGTGTAGTGGAGACACAGCCTAAGGTCCCAAGTTTTGTCTGTTGTCCTTCCTGTGAAATGCTGTGATTTACAGAAGTATGTGTGAAACTTGCAGGTTAAAATTTGCTTTTGAGTTCCTCTAGTGAAGGTAAATTGGCTATTGCCATATTTACCTCAGTGTGTATAGTGCAGAAGTGTTAAGCCCTATCCACTCCACAACTTAATGGTGTTAACTACAACACTCATAGAGCTATACTTATTGTCCAGTTGTAATAGCTAGTGTGGTTATAACAGTGGTTCTCAAACTTTTGTGCTGGTGACCCCTTTCACACAGAGAGCCTGAGTGCGACCCCCACCCCTTTATAAATTAAAAAAAAAACGTTTTTTTAAATTTATAACACCATTATAAATGCTGGATGCAAAGCAGGGTTTGGGGTGGAGACTGACGGCTCGCAAGCCCCCATGTAATAAGGGGTCCTGACCCCCAGTTTGAGAACCCCTAGGATACAACATGCTTTCTCTGTTCAAGGCAAATGGTATTTTAAAGTGTGCTAATTGTGCTCTAGAGTACTGTTGTGAATTTGATACCACAGTCTCTTAAGTGTTTGTAACCATGTTAGGTGTGTCATAGTGTTTGATTGCAAGCTTCAGGGTAGAGAGAGGCCAGGATACAGTGCCATAGTGTCCATGGCTTCCTATAGAACATAACTACCCAAAGCATAGCCCTCTTTGCTCAGAGAAGTGGATGTAGCAGAAGGCCGGTTCAGAGGCTGTGCCCTATGGTATCACTATGATACCTCCCTGTGGTAGAAGCATTTTGAAAACTGTGTGACTTTTCCCTTCACCTAAACAGGAGCACTAGTTTTCCATGAATTCTAATAGGTAGGCAATTTCCTTTCTCCAGAAAGGATCAATCAGGGAGCTGTGCATTTCTCAACATGCTTGAAACTGCACGTCAGTTTGTGGTGAGCCATCCAACCACCAGCCCTTACTCAGGATTTTACTGGCAGAACAGTAAAGCTTTGGTGCTTGGTGGTGTAGGACAGTGGTTCTCAACCAGGGATACACAGAGGTCTTCTAGGAAGTACATTAACTCATCTAGATATTTGCCTAGTTTTACAACAGGCTACATAAAAAGCACTAGCAAAGTCAGTACAAACTAAAATGTCATACAGACCGTGACTTGTTTATACTGCTCTATATACCATACATTTCAGTTTAGATGCAATATTTACATTCCAGTTGATCTATTTCATAATTACAGGGTTAAAATGAGCAAGAAAGCAATTTTTCAGTGATAGTGTGCTGTGGCACTTTTGTATTTTTGTCTGATTTTGTAAGCAAGTAGTTTTTAAGTGAGGTGAAACATGGGGGTATGCAAGACAAATCAGACTCCAGTAATCTGGAAAGACTGAGAGCCACTGGTATTGGAGACCTTCGTCTTTAAGGATTTACAGTAGGGTTTTCCCAAAGTTTAAAAGGCTGGCAAGTCCATCAGGCTTCTATTTGAGCTCTGCCTCTTGCTTCCTTCCCTGGAAACATCTGCCCACCTTTTATTTAGCTTAATTTCTTTTTTTACTTTAGATCACCTTTTCTTAGGCGTACTAATTTATCCCATCTTTAAAACATAAGATACTTTTATTGCCCATGCTTAATCAAATATTTGGGGCTGGGGATAGAATTCTGTACAGTTGGGATTTGGGGTAAAAGTGTGCATTTGTCAGGCATAATGAACACGCAACCTTGATGTGTTTTTTTGTATCATAACCTTCAATTTTAGCACTTATTTGAAGCTAGTTTTTGCAGATTGGCCTGGCTAGCAGCACAACGTAGTTGAAAGTGTGTTGTAAATTCAGGATTGGTAATAATTTAGCTGTATTTGCGTTGGTCAGAAACTTGGCAAGCAAATACAGTAAAAGCTGTGTTATCTGGCTCTTTACCAATCGGAAAGCTCTATTAAACCAGCATTTCTAATCTTCATTGACAGTCCAGTCTATAGTCCGGTTGGTGTGGGGCTGGCAGGCTCCCTACCTGGCTCTGAGTGGCTCCCCGGAAGCAGCAACATGTCCCTGCTGCTCTTAGGCAGAAGAACAGCCACTAGGGGTTTGGAGTGCAGGGTGTGGGCTCTGGGAGGGAGTTTGGGTGTGGGAGGGGATTGGGGTGTGTGTGGGGAGGTGTGGGATGTTGGATCTGGGTGGGGCTCACCTTGGGTGGCTCCCCGCAAGCAGCGACATGTTTAGATTTGTATTGTTCAAACACTGTTGATGTGGTCTTTAAGAGTGGTTCTCAACCAGGGGTATGCGTACCCCTAGGGATACGCAAAGGTCTTCCAGGGGTTACATCAACTTATCTAGATAATGTGCCTTGTTTTACAACAGGCTACATAAAAAGCACCAGCAAAGTCAGTACAAACTAACATTTCTCACAGACAATGACTTATTTATACTGCTCTGTATATTAAAATGTAAGTACAATATTTATATTTCAGTTGTTTGATTTTATAATTGTAAAAATGAGGAAGTATTTTTGTTGATTTTGTAAGCATGTCATTTTTAAGGGAGGTGAAACTTGGGGTATGCAAGACACATCAGACTCCTGAAAGGGATACAGTAGTCTAGAAAGGTTGAGAGGCACTGATCTATAAGACTGTCTAGTAGTGTGGCCACAATAGAGAACTGCATTTAAAATTTAGTTGCACGCATTTGTGGCCCGATAAGGCCTGAGCATATAATATGTCCCTTTTGATCCTGTATTAAAGCCTCCCCACACCATCACACTTGTAGCATAATCGAGGCCTCTTTAGATTGGATTCCTTGGATTGACAAGGCTGCTCTGACTTGCAGGTCTGGAAGGTGAACGCCCTGCTCGTCTTACTCGGGGAGAGGCTGACAGAGATACCTACAGACGCAGTACCGCTCCACGTAAGTGTCCTATCTAGTGCAAGTATGAGTTAACCAAACTGAGCTTGTCATTTGTGCAGTTTACATTTCTGTAGAAGCGTCTTCAACGTTTAGATGTACAACATGCTAACTTCTGTGATGAATGTCTGAGGTCTCAAGCCTCCACTTCCCTGCTGATTCTAGGGTCCGTTTATCAATACGCTCCACTGCACAGCAGTTACGCTTGCATGTCAAGCTGGATTTTCTCCCATGTGGCATAATGTTTCCTATTGCCTAATTGCCATAATTTGCAATTGCAGTAAAAAAAAGATAGCATTGTGGAAGTTATCTGTAGCTTGTGGTGTGCACATCCCAAAGGTTTAAATATTTGATACTGCTAAAGACAGTATATCCTAAATAAGAGTTTGTCGTCAAAGCCCAGGCAATGGATTCTCTCTGCTTTGTAGTTTTCTAGAATAGCTCTTTCTCTCTTCCCAGTTGGTGCTGACAAAAAGGCTGAGGCTGGTGCTGGAGCAG